AGAGGCTCGAACTCTGACTGAAGGCCTTCCCACACTCATAACATTTATAGGGTTTCTCTCCTGTGTGGACTCTTTGATGCATGCAGAGGCTGGAGGTGTGCCTGAAGGCCTTCCCACACTCTTCACATTTAAAGGGCTTCTCTCCGGTGTGGACTCTCTGATGCATGCAAAGGTTTGAACTATTACTAAAGCCCCTTCCACACTCACTACAGACATAAGGTTTCTCACCTGTATGAACTCTCATATGAATTTGAAGATGGGAGCTCCAATTGAAGGCTTTGCCACACTCATAACATTTATAGGGCTTCTCCACTGTGTGGATTTTCTTATGTCTATTAAGTTTTGTTGTAGTGCTAAAATCCTTACCACAATCATCACATTTATAGACCTTCTCTCCTGTATGGTCTCTCCAATGAATATGAAGTTCTGATATATGAAAGAAACCCTTATCACACTTGTCACATTTATGGGGCTTCTCAGCTGTGTGAATTTTCTGATGCATAAAAAGATCTGCTCTCTCAGAGAAAAATTCCCTACACATGGGGCACTTGTAGATCATTTTTCCTATTTGGTATCGTGATTTGGAGGAGAAAATTTCCTTACAATTACTACAGTTACAAGACTGTTATTTCATAGAGTCTCTTATTTGGCCATTTTGGCAGTCTATCTCAGGCTTGCTCTATTAGGTAAGTTTAAGATCAGCCTAAGCTTTTCCCTGCCTGTCTTTCTATGGAAGGTTTCTTCCTGCATAGTGTTCCTCACTCAGTATTATTATTGATTATAAAGTGACATTGACTTCCACGTGTATTCTGTAACTCATTAACATAGAACTTTGTTTTAGATCCTGAGTTGTCAACATTCCAAAGGGCTCTCAAGGTGCAAACCTTTTTGTTTTTGAGCCCCTAGAATCTTCCTCTTGTAGAGTAATGTTGTACTTCTCACTTCTAGAAAAAGGACTGTACAGTATATCCCCTGTATCGAAGGATGAGATACTGCTGGCTGGTCTCGAGCCCCTGCAGTCGCCCCTTGAAGAGTCAGTTTGGCATTCTGCCTCCTGCACATCAGACACAAAAGCCTCTCCAGCAAGCAGGCTCCTCAGGGTCCAGGTATGGCAAGTCTTGCTTTGGGGAATTCCCTACATGGGTATCATGCCATCTCCTGTAATAGAAATGTAAATAAATAAATTGAAAATGCTTCTATCCGGAAAACTGCTATTGATTCCAAAATTAATTTTATATAAATGTGACAGCAGTAACACAAACCTTTTTTGGTCTTGAGGAAGAAGCTCGCTTATCTTCCAGAGATGTGTCTCTTGGATTTGCAGGTCTGAAGGAGAGAATTTGTAGATATCATGCTCCTGTTTACAGCTCAAGTAAATAATCCAGTTACAACCACTCATTGTAATTATCTGAGCAACATCAAGGGGAACGTTATTGAAAGAGAAAAGAAATCCTCAAAAGACCTACATGTGAGTATGAAAACCAGCTGTCCTGTACAAAGGAACAACAATGAAAATGATCTCCACTTTGAACTTCAGAAGGTACAACATTGCTGCTTTTGGAGATAAAACATCATATGTGACTTGCCTTCTAATCTACAGAAAGAGTAAGTACATGATGTGTTGGTATCAAATGTCATTCTCCTACTTGTCTTCAATGATTTCCTGATGTACTTAAAATAAAATCCCAATCCTTAACTCAAACACCTGACCTGCCCCTCTCCCCACTTCACTCCATGCTTCTTGCCTCTGGCTTTCTTTTTCAGCTCTCAAACACCCCAAGCGTTTCCTGCCTCGGGGCCTTTGTACATGCTGTTCCCCGCACTTAAACCACTCCCTCCCCTACTTTGTGCAGAGTTTTGTGGGTCAGCTGCCCTCCCCTACCTAAATAGGCCCCAGCTAGACTCTGTTTTCATCTCCTTTAATTCCTTTAAAGCCCACATGACTTGTAATTACCGTATTTGTTCCCTGATTTTTAACCTGTCTCCTGTACTAGGATGTAAGTGCCATGAAGAAGGAACTGTGTGCGTTGCTCTCTGTTACAACCTGGCAATGAGAGGGGTTCAACGAATATTTTCTGAGAATCTATAGAGTACTTCAGGACACCCTCTGGCACCCACACACATGTCCTGCTTCATTCTGGTGGGGCAGATAAAGGTACATTTCTTAGTGCCTTATTTCCAGTCTTTTGATAGCCTCCAGAGGACAAAATACACAACAAACAGAATAAGGAGGAGATAAAAGAAGAAAATAAATCTCAAAATATTCACTCTGAAATCTTTTAAGGTTTAGGACTATGTTTTAGCAATCTTTTCATTTCTTTTATTCTATATGCAGTGATACTTTAAAATTAACTAAATGAAATCAATAGGTTTTCTTAAAATAACGCTTTTAATATGTTCCATACAAAGAGAACATGCATGGGTGTCT